AAATATAGCTTGCTGAACATAATTTCACATTACTTTGATGATTAAGCTTTCTGTAGTTCATTGGTTTTGTTGTTCTGAACATCAGTTGTCACAGTGTGAAACTGTAGATAGTGAAGGTATAGAGTGTTAAGTAGATGCTTTTCTCTTTATCTAGAGATTTGCTGTTGATCGAAGTGACAGGAGGGTGCTTGCTGATAGGGAAGGTGGGGAAAAAGTGCTGAAAAGAAAATGCTACCAAACAGCCATTGGAAACAGAACTATGGAGGTGAAGGGGGGAGGGTGCTACTGCAGCTGCTGTCCATGTTCTCATCCCACCATAATTGTGGAAAGGAAGAGACATGTGGGGAGGGAGGAGGAGGGAAAGATTCCAAGAGTTTCCTATACCTCTAGAAAATGGCAGTGAGCCAAAGATCTGACTCTGTCCCTTTCTCATATTCTGTAGACATTTAAAATGTCTTCTCCCAACCATCTAAGTACCCAAAATCTCTATACCAAGCCCTCTTCTCTCCCTACTTTAAGCTCCTTGATGATCTCATCCAGATTCAATTAACACTATACATATGATTCCAGAATTTATACATCTAAATATAATTTAATGCTCCTAAATTCTAGTCCCACATCTTCAAGTGCCATGTTGAATAGGACCATCTAAATGCCCAAGCAGCATCTCAAATTCATCCAAACTTAGTTGATCAGATGTTACAGAGGTTAGAGTGCTGGATTTGGAGTCAGAAAGACCTCATGTCAGATCATGCCTCAGATACCTAATCAAGTTAAACCCTGCAAAAGTCACTTAACCCTCTACAGTCTCAGTTTCCTCATTTGTAAAGTGGGGGGTGATAATAGCACTTACCTCACAGACTTGTTATGAAGACCAAATGAGATAACATGTATAAAGTGTTTTCTCAACTTTAAAGCACTATATAAATGCTAGCAAATTATGTTATTAATTCACTACCTCCCCCCCCCAAAAAAAGCTATCCTATTCCTTTTTTTTTTAAACAATGAATAAGGATATTTGTTTTTTAATTAATTTATTTATTTTTAGTTGTCAATATTAACTTCTGTAACCTTTTATTTTTTTTTGTCTAGGCAATGGGGTTAAATGACTTGCCCAGGGTCACACAGCTAGTAAGTGTTATGTGTCTGAGGCTGGATTTGAACTCAGGTCCTCCTGAATCCAGGGCCGGTGCTCTATTCACTGTGCTACCTAGTTGCCCCTTTCTATAACCTTTTGAGTTTTAAATTTTCTCCCTCTTTCTCTTTTCCCTCCCTCCCAAGATGACATGCAATCTGATATAGGCTCTACATATACATTCATATTAAACATATTTTCACATTAGTCATGTTGTAAAGAAGAATTAGAACCAATAGGAGGAGCCATGAGAAGGAAGAAACAAAACAAACAACAACAAAAAAAGAGAGAGTAAATAGTATGCTTTGATCTGCATTCAGACTCCATAGTTCTTTCTCTGAGTATGGACAGCATTTTCCATCATTTGTCTTTTGGAGTTGTCTTAGATCCTTGCATTGCTGAGTAGAGCTAAGTCTGTCAGAGTTAGTCATCACACAATGTGGCTGTTACTGGGTACAATGTTCTGGTTTTGCTCACTTCACTCAGCATCAGTTCATATAAGTCTTTCCAGGTTTTTCTGAAGTCCACCTACTCATCATTTCTTATAGTACAATAATATTCCATTACATTCATGTAACCCAACTTGTTCAGCCATTCTCCATTTGATGGGCATCCCCTCAGTTTCCAATTCTTGGCCACTACAAAAAGAGCTGCTATAAATATTTTTGTACATGTGGGAATCCTATTTCTTTTGAGATCCCTCTCTGTCACCCAGGTTAATAAACTCAGTATCAATGCTAACAAGATCTTCCCTATCCCTCCCCATATCCAATCAGTTGCCAAGCCTTATCAGTTCTCCTTCCATACTATATCAGTCCTCTTCTACTCACATGACCACTTTTGGCACTCATTACCTCTTACTGGAATTGTTGGAATAATCTCCTGATTTTTTCCTTCCTCTGTCCAATCCATCCTCCATACAGCTGCCAAAATAATATTCTTAGGGGACAGATCTAACCATGTCACTCCCCTACTCAAGAACCATCAGTGGTTCCTCATTGTCTTGGGGACAAAATACAGATTTTTCCACCTGTCCCTTTACTTCTACCACAGTTTGGTTCCAACTTCCCTTTCTAATTTTATTTCACATTGTTTCTCTTCACACAATGTTCTTACCAAACTGTACAACCAGCCATTCCTGATCTTGACATTCTCTTTCCTATTTCTGTGTATTTGTCCCATGCCCATAATATACTCCAAACTCATTTCCTCTTCTCAGAATTCTTGTCTTTCTTCAAAGTCAGCTCTGGTACTTGCCACCTCCATTGTGAAACCTCTGCCAGTACTTCCAGCTGCTAATGTTCCCTCCCCTTCAAATGATCTGTTTGTATGTTATATTCACCAAGTAGGATGTAAGCCTCTCAGAAGCAAGATCTGTTTTATCTTTGTGTTTGTTGTTGTTCAGTTATTCCAACTCTTCATGTCCCCATGGGCCATAGCACACCAACTCCTTCTGTCCTCCACTATTTCTCTAAGTTTGTCCAAGTAACTGTTCATTGTTTCCATTATATTATATAGCCATCTCATACTCTACTGTTCCCCTTTCCTTTTGCCTTCAATTTTTCCCAACATCATGGTCTTTTCCAGTGACTTCCATCTAATATTATGTGGCCAAAGTACGTAAGCTTCAGTTTCAGTATTTGGCTTTCCAGTGAATAGCCTGATTTAATTTCTTTAAGCGTTGACTGATTTTATCTCCTTGCTATCTAAGGGACTTTCAGAACTTCTCCAACACCATAATTCAAAAGCATTGATTCTGCCACACTCAGCTTTCATGCTGGAAAAGCCATAGCTTTGATTATATGGACCTTTGTTGGCAAGATGATGTCTCTGCTTTTTAGTATGTTGTATAGATTTACCATGGTCTTACTTCCAAGAAGCAAGCGTCTTTTAATTTCATGGCTATAATCACTGTCTGCAGTGATCTTTGATCCCAAGAATATAAAATCTGACATTGCTTCCATTTTTTTCTCCCTTTCTTTGCCAGGAAATGATGGGACCAGTTGCCAAGATCTTATTGCTTCAAGCTAGCTTTTATACTCTACTTTTTCCCTTTCATCAGGAGGCATCTTAATTCCTCTTCACTTTGTGCCATCAGAGTTATATCATCTGCGTATCTGGGATTGTTAATATTTCTCCTGGCAACCTTAATTCCAGCTTTTGATTCATCCATCCTGGCATTTCACATGATATACTCTGCATATACGTTAAATAAATAAGTTGACAATATCATACTCCTTTGCCATTATGAAACCAATCAATTATTTCATATTAACTTCTAACCATTGCTTCTTGGCCCACATACAAGATCCTCAAGAGATGAGTAAGATGATCTGGTACTCCCATCTCTTTGAGGACTTGCCATATTTTGTTGTGATCCACACAGTCAAAGGCTTTAATGTAGTCATTTAAGCATAAAAAGATGTTTGTTGTCTGTAACTCTCTTGCTTTCTCCATAATCTAGCAAATGTTAGCAATTTGGTCTCTAGTTCCTCTGCCTCTTCAAAAACCAGCCTGTTCTTCTGGTAATTTTTGGTTCCCATATTGCTTAAGCCTAGCTTGCAGAATCCAAAGCATGACCTTGCTGGCATGTGAAATGAGCGCAACTGTTCAGTAATTTGAACATTCCTTGGCATTGCTGTTCTTTAGGATTGGGAGGGAAACTGATCTTTCCTAATCCAGTAGCCACTATTGGGTTTTCTAAATTCGCTAGCATATCAAATGCAGCACTTTAACAGCATCATCCCTTAGAGTTTTAAATAGCCCAGCTGGAGTTCCATCACCTGCACTAACCTTATTCTCATCGTTAGCAGTGCTTCCTAAAGCCGTTTGACTTTGTTCTCCAAGATGTCTGACTCTAGACTAGTAACCATAGCATCATGGTTATTGGTGATATTAAGATCTTCCTTGTTATGGTTTCTTTCCCCCTCTTCTTAATCTCTTCTACTTCTGTTCCAACCATTTTCTGTTGGTTTGTTTTTGTTTTTTGTTTTTCATTTTAGTGCTGTCCATGGGGTTTTCTTGACAAAGATACTGGAGTGGTTTGCCATTTCCTTCTCCAGTAGTTCATCTTGTTGTCAGAACTCTCCACTATGACCTGTCTGTCTTGAGTAACATAGCTCATAGTTTCATTGAGCTACACAAGTGCCTTCACCATGACAAGGCGGTGATGGAGGGTTGGGGGGGAGGGTAGAGGGAGGTGGTTATGTTTAACTAAATAAATGTTTGTTGAATCTGAATGACAGTTTCCCTAAAGAACCAAGGAAAAACCCAAAGCCATAAGCCCTGGCACTGGCCAACAAATTAAGAACTACTGCTGTAAGAGAGTACACTGAATTCATATCTTAGATGTTGCTTTTATTTTTCTTTTTAACAAATCCATAATGGGTTATTCTTTAGTCTTTTTAGTCGTTTCAGTCTTTCTCAAGCAAAGGGAGAGAAAAACTCAGCTAGTTGGGTTCAAGTTAACCAAAGTTTTACCATTTATGCCCTTTTTACCTGTCGTTAAATCATACCTCATAACTATTGAGATGAAGTACACGAAAGGCAGAGCTGTGCTGTAGCCATGGCAAACAGATGAATCTGGGCGTCCTTGAGATTGTTAGGGTTTTGTGTTATTTTTTTCTTAATCTATTAGAGTAGGATAATTAAATTGTGCTTATTTTATCATTTCCAGAATCTACCATGTAATACATATGCTCAGCTTTCACATTCAAGTTTTCCATGAGGTCGGTGCATACAAAAGCAGCTTGTTCCAGCTCCCTATCCAGTCATAACAATCAGAAGAATAATGTTTCTCAACTGATGAAATCTTCCTCTCTTCTCATGGCAGTACTGAATAATGTTGTTTATATCATTAATGCAGGACTTGTAAGTGAAAATGCTCAGCCGATCCCAGAGACCAACATTGGAAACCGAATGCTTCAGAGCATGGGCTGGACACCTGGGACAGGCCTTGGAAGAGACGGCAAGGGGATGTCTGAGCCAATACAGGCCATGCAGAGGCCCAAAGGATTAGGACTTGGATTTAGCCGACAAAACACCACACCACCAAGTAATGTCCCCAAATCAGGAAAATCTACCTAAGAAGATGATGGTATGCTTAGGCTTTTTCCCAGAAACCTAGTTGTTCTCAATTTATAATATAGCTTCCATTTATGAAGCAGCAACCAACATGCCTCAAATCTGCCACACCAGAGTACCATCAGTGTTTAGTCCTGCCTCAACAGGAAGACACAAATTTCAGTCACAATTCATGGTGCTAAAGTGGAATCCTAATTGTACTTGTTTTCAATATTTTAAATCAACTTCTAATGATAAAATACAGCCCATTTTTTCCATTAAGGTATTTAGAAATTAGCAATTTTAGACCCCTTGCCTAGGGCATGTGGGGAACATGCATATGCATATGATTGGGTTTATGTTCTTCACATTATCCAAAATGCTAGTTTACCCAGAAGACTAAGCCCTAGACAGATACTTCTTTGGTAATCATGGTAGCTTCGTGGTCCTTGAGTTTCACATTTTGTGAAGATTTGTTAGTAGGGTGACACCCATCAGGTTCCCATCCTAGGTTGACATGGTATACAGTTTTTACATATGACAACCAATTCCTACATATTTTCCTAGGAAATTAAAACAAAAATATACCTTATCTCTTGATAAATGATCACCACTGAGTGCCCTCAACACTACTGAAATGCAGCTTTTTATGCATTTTTACCTCATTTAAGACCTAAAATGAACAAATGTCGAATGAAAAGCATATTTTTAAATTCACCCTAACTGAGCCGTATGATCTCTTAATTTAGACCAGTCTCTACCTCTATTCCCCTTAAATAGTTCATTATAAGATAACTCAGTTGTACCAAACTGATTTTAAATTTTGATCATTGCAGTAAGGCCTTAGAATAAAAATTTGCCTCTAGTAGTAACAGAAATTGAGAGATTTCTAACAGTAGCCTACCCCAAGATGTAAATTCTGAGATATTCAAGGGAACAGCCAGACAAGTGAAAGAACAAACTGGTCCTTTAAAATCAAACAGGACAGGCATTTTAATTATGTGCCTAATTTAGTATCCAAGTATTCACCAATCAAGTACTGCGCTAAATAGGAGCAGGTATACAGACACACTTTTCATGTATGTAAAAAGCTGTGCTGTGTTCTGCCCTGTTCTCATTGTTTTTAAAGTAGTGTTAGTATTAATAATACTATTAAAATGATGAGTTTTTATTGGATGACTAAATGCTAGGGTAGTACATTAGGAGGCTTCTCTCAAAATTTTTTGTAAATAACTAATTAGTCATCAGAGTATTTAAAACACAAGCACACTCAACCTACCACTTCCTTATCCTCTGAAGGAAACAGTGATGATATGGAAGAGATTGGCCTGCTGTTTAAATGCCTTGAAAGTTTTGCCAAATACATACATTTCTTTTAAGAATTCTCCTCTTTTGAATCTGAGATGGGGAGTGCCCTGAGAATAGAAAGGGCAGGAGGGAGGGGAGGGATGGGGTAATGATAGTTTGCTCTTTTGTGCTGCTAGCCAAATATTCATGTTGCACAAAGGAACTGGTTTATTTATGAACTGCTGTTCAATGCTGTCCAACAAGTGTGTTGTGTAGGAAATTAAGGGGTGTGTGTGTGTGTGTGTGTGTGTGTGTGTGCACGTTTATATATGTTTAGAAAGGGGACTGGAGCAAAATGTGTCTATGGCTTTAAAAAAAAATTAGCATATAACATCCTCAGCCATATTGGAAAAAGATTTTAAGAAATGTCATTGCCTGAGAATCCTACAGCTCTAGAATTGTGAAAATCTCAAGTTTTCAGGTGATGGTAGAATTATCTCTGTGTCTAAGTGATCAAGATTTGACTGATACTTGTTTTTCAACTTCACTGTCTGGGCTGCAGAATTCTAGAGAATTCAGTCATGAAAGGGAAAAATCAGTGATGATTCCATTCAGCTTGTGAACAACTGTTTTGGATGAAGTCTAGAGTTGTTCATGGCAGCATTCGATCTTAGCTGTGGGTATTTGTTTTCACTACTGTGTTTATGAAAGTGTATCATTTCTTCCACACAAAGTGACTGCTCTGAGACTTAGCACACAAAGCCCTTGTGGTCCTTGTAACTAACCATGGTACTTGTGACACAAACATTATATTGTTCATATTGTCATTGAATGTAAAATAGCTGTCACCCTTTAAAATTGATATGTGTTGCACACCAAGAATTTCAAAAACACGTGTGAACCAAAGTTCAGAGTGGAGAGATGGGAGTATCCCAAGTTGACTTGGTATGCACCCAGATCTTTGCTCCAGAGCCTGTATTAATTCACCATGATGGTCCTATAGGAGAAAGGTACCCAAGGTGACTTGTCAGCATACAAATTCTGGTCTGAAATATGGAAGATTCTGATTTTAAATCAAACCTCTGTTAAAGCACAAAGCACACTAAGTTAGATGATGTTTAGACATTATCATGGTTTGGTGGGTTTTTATTTTTGTTTTTTTGGGTTTTCTTATTTTGGGTTTTGGGGGCTTTTTTGTTTTGTTTTGTTTTGGTTTGGTTTTTTGCCATTTATAATTCCTATAGGACCAAAGCATTCAGTGGAGTGTGCAGTTTAGAATGACTTGTTTGTCTCTCCATAGAAAGGTAGCAAGATAATTTCTCTATACTGCCAAAAGGCAGCCCTTGTTACCCTTCTAGTCAAAAGCCTCTTATTGGCCTAATTGATTGCATTAAAGATCTATGTGGAAATTTTAGAGAATGCAGAGATCTAACAATGCCTATTAACCCCTACCCTTCAGATAACCAGATTACTCCATTCTCTGGCAATGGCATTGAGAGTTTTGTCAAAATGCATTTGAATTAGCTTTCCACAGATTTTTTTTTTATCATTTAGTACTACCAAATTGATCTGAGAGAGTACTGTACATTTCAGTTTTTTTCCAGAATTTCAGTATGTTGAGATTTTATCACACTCAAATACAGTTATCTTTATTTTAAAATAATAGGGAATGCTTTTAAAAATCCTATTGTTATCTGAAACTAATTGGATCGTCTCTACATTTGATTTCATAGGCCTTCCAGTTTATACCATGGCATTAACCAACAGCAAAACCATAGCTATAGCTAAGAGGACATATGTGTGTGTACCTATGTGTATAAATGTATGTGCATGTGTCACTACATGTGCCTTCTGATATACATGCATTGGATGTAAAATATGCATTGTGTTGTTATGTTTATCTTCACACTATGTACTGATGTACTTGTAATTAATTGAACAGTTGATTTAATTGACAGCAATTTCACTTTGAGCAAATATTTGAAGAAGAAAAATTACTGTTAACATGCTTGTTTTAACCATTTCCCTCTACATTTTGTTTTCTGTAGAAACAGTTGCAATTGTTATTCTAAAATAAAACTGTATGGGCAAAAAAAAATTGGTTTTAAAGGTATATGGAAGGCTGTGCTAACAATTCAACAAAAATAGAAATAAATAAAGCATAAAAGATTTTCTGGTTAAGCACATTTTTGTTCTTGAATATATTCTTTATACAGATTTTCTTTCTGCACCAAGTGTATCAGGAATTTAAAGAAGAAAGACTCTATGCAATTCAGTTAGATTATAAACCCCTTGAGGGCAGGGCTAATGGCTTATGTTTCTTTTTTATTGCCAAGTAGAATCTTTGTTACAGTCATGTGCCCAAAGTGGCGTTCACTAAATATTTGTCAATGAAATAACACCTTATGAAAATAAACAGGTATTAACAGGTTTCTAGCCTTACATGCAACCTTTTCAACCATTTAGGTTGGCTTGGCCAATAATCCTAGTAAAAACACTATTTTGACTCTAGTTCATTTTTAATTTATTGATCTTGTTCTACCACAATGGTCAAACTAGTTGGGCTGTACCTGTAAGTGAATGTGTAGCATTAGAAAATATAATTTTTTTGCGTGTATTTGCTCTCCTCTATCTGGCATTACTTTTAATACCCCAGCTACAGCTGTAGTCAACTTGACAAATCATCCACAGATTTGGTTTAACACAAAAATTATGCCATTCATTGATCACTCTAATCAAGAGTTAACTATTAAATTTGTTTACTTCAAAGTCTTCTACTCTTACCTAAAAAGCCAGACTATACTCCTAAAATGGGCAAAAGTATCAGTGGCATTAAAATTACAGAATATAACATAGATGACTTGAATTATATTTTTAAAATATCACTGAAGTCCTACCCTATTCCCTTATTGTGGTATGGAAGTGACAATAGGTTCTTAAAGGCTATGTCAGTGGAATACAAGCTCTGGGTGATTCTACCAAGCTAGAAAACTTTTAGTATAAACTTTGTAATAGACTTGATGTGTATCAGCCTAGCCAGAGGACCACTCTAGCTGAGTATAAAGGAGCTTATCATCAACAGATGGAACACCAAGTAAGAAAGTATCTAGTGTACAACAATTCATGAAGACCATCCCTTAAGATGGGGGCATGTGGAAAGAAAGAGTTTGCATTCCTCACTGGGGAAGGGAAGTATCTACACAGATAAAACTAGGATCCTTGAATTACTGTATTAAGGGCCTACATTTATATGGCACTTTTAAAATTTACAAAGCACTTTACATACATTACTATGCAATCTCACAATACTGCTATTAAGGAAGGGAGTTTGATCATACTACTTCAATAGATCTATGATCTCATTAATGTACAGATTTCTCGAGTGGAGATCATCACTCATCCATACCTCATTCTGCGTAACTCTTGTCTATATCACGTAATTCCAGCACAGGATATATACCCAAAGTGGTAGAGCCCTTCCCCGGGATCACTGCCCATAGTATGTACCCATGGAGTTCTCCTCAGACTGTCAGTTGGTTATTCTTAATCCTTACTATATGACTAGCTCACTCCATTTCTGTTAATACATAATTATTGTTAGTAGAATACTTTAGCTTATTCACACCCACCATATGTCTCTCCATTGTCCTTTCAATGACCTACAACAATGATTCTTCAGAGTCAGTGATAGTCCTTGTTTTGCAGCCAAGTAGCACACAGGAAGATTTTGTGTTTTTTAAAAAGGGGGTAGGGACCATTATTTCAGGAGAGTACTTTGTAATAATTAAACACACTGCAAAACCCCAAACCATAATCCAATTAATCAGTCAAAAAACATTTGTTAAGTGACTGCTATATGCCAGATACAATACTACTTGCTGGGGAAGACAAATAACAAAGACTGAAACAATCCCTACTCATAAGGAGCTTGCTTATATTCTAATGAAGAATCAACGTAAACATTTAAGTATAAATAGAATAAAATCCAGCCCACTCCCTTCCTACTCAATTGCAGATTTAATTATGAACCCAGTTCATTGCCTATCTTCAACATCTGTGTAAGATATGTGCATGAGCAGTTGAATGAGATATCCGTTGAATACGTTACATCCTAGTCTGGACAATAGTCAACAAAGCACAGAAGTATCTTATATCCTCCATAAATTTGGGTTAATTGTGTGGCTGTAAAATGTAATGTGCTATATAATATTATTTGCAAACCGTTCCTTTTTCATGCTTTTTATCAAGGATGTTCTCAATAAGTATGTAGATTATTCTAATAAAGATTTTGCAGCAATTGGAAAATGTGTACATGGGTGGGTAGTTATTGAAGTTTTCTTAATTGCCATTTTCAGTAGTAATCATGTTCATAATTTCTGTGAGCACTTGGTATCCTCCTTATAACTGTATTGAAAATAAACCTTTCAATACCCTCAGAATTGTGTCGTTTGCAGCATAGACCTCTCATGTCTAGAGTAGACTTCTTTGGTCTCATTCAGATACTCTTCACATTTTAATTTTCTTTAGTGTCTTGTAAATATAGTGATTCCATGATTATACATGAAGAAAATAGTTTGTCACAAATGTTTTAGGAAATCTTTTTCATAGTCATCTCTTTGTTATCTTCCTTCCAGATTTGTCCATAAATTCCTTTAGGGTGGTCTGGTTTAGTTGGGTTTCATGCCTCATTCTGTCACCTTTTTTTATCCCTGTGCTGTTTCTTGCTGTTTTATGATAATAGTGTTCATTATCTTTCACAGTCCTCCTCAGGTTTTATAAATTAGTTTGTATTTTTAAAAAGTAATACTCTTACTTGCCATTGCTCTCTTCCCATTTGGAAAGTAGACCAAGGGTTTGCTAAGGTGATCTCTATACTCTTTTGGTCTCATCATAATATTTATTTATATTGGTTAAACTTCCTTAGGAAATGAGGATGGTCTATATTGTTCTGTTCTTTTATTCATTTCCCATTTTTTTAGCATCAACAGCTGATTGAAATACTATGGCAAGGATGGAATTATTTAAATTACGTGCTGTATCTTTTCATTTTTATTCTTCTAATTTGATACTGATTTTTATCAGTTCTGATAGTACATAACTCAGCAGATTCAGAAATGACCAGATAAATAACCAGCATTTCCCATCAAAATGTAATTTGTTAATTTTGGGGACATCATTCATATTCACAGTGTCCAGTGCCACTACAACCCTTGACCCCAACTCTCTTCTCAGGAAGTATTCATGATACATAGGTGCTAAGCATCTGTATAGTCTATAGTTCTTTTTACAAATACCCATCCCATAAAATATTGACTTGTTGCCTTTAGAATCACAATATGATCAACTTGGTGTTATTTGTGATCCCAGGGAGGACCTATAAACCATCTTCCATTTAGCTATGACTTCTTTCATTTTCAGATTTCATTTATTTGATATGATTCAGTTCCTGTGGTTGTATATCTACTAATTAGTCTCTGGATTCAGATTTTACCTTTACAGTAGGGTCAAATTTTAATAATGGTCTAAAAGCTAATGATTTTTAGCATGCTCTCATCTCTTTTCCTCTTCTTTGCCACCATCACTGAAGGAGTGGGAAGAAAATATGCAGGGCTAAAGTTCATTTTGATTTCATGGGTTACTAGTTATCTGACAATCAGCCTGGTAATGAGACTAACTATGTACTTAAATAGGCTAATATTTAAGAGTATAAACACATTGTCACCAGTCCCATGCTTCCTTCCAGCAGGGTATCAGAGTTTGTAATCTACACAGTCTTCTAGAACCCAAGGTTACCACCTTGTGGCTTTGGTGTAGAACTTTGTGGAGGATCCTAATATTCTAGTGTATTGACCTTTTTCTAAAATGCTTCACAATTCTTCTTGACAAACATCGAAGTACCTACTACCTACAAGGCAATGAGGATACAAAGGAGCTTCCATTCTGGTTGAGTTACAACACAGATAAATATGTTAGAGTGTAATGGAAGCAAAAGATATATCAGACAAAATACACATGCAATATTTGAGAATGGAATGAACATCATCAAAAGGGGAGAATCAGAGAATTATAAATTTGTCCCAAGTGTTATGAATTTATGCTCAAAAAATTCCTATATTACAGTGAATCCTTAAATACACAACTTTGTTATAAAATATTCTCCTGAAAGATTTGTGAATATATAAAAGTGAGAATGTCTTAACTTCTTAATACATTGGAAATTGATTGATATGCTTAAATTGGCAATTATGTGCCATCATGGTCAGCTGCTCCACTATTAAAATAGTGTGAATATTTGCTTTCATCCATTTTTCCTTTGGAGATGTGATGACTAATTCATTAATTCACTTGATGATTTTTACTTTATATTATAACTACCACTCTCTTACGCATTTTTTGAGGTTTATGAATTGCTTTCCCCACAGCAACACTATGGGGTAGAAGTATTCTCATTTTGAGAATAATGAAACAGACTCAGATAAATTAAGTGACTTGCCAAAGGTTAAATAGCTAGTAAGTAAACGTCTGAGTCAAGATTCAAACCAAGACTGCACTAACAATACCGCCACCACTGTGCGTTTAATTTAATTTACCCTTTCCTTAATCTCAGGATTCCTTCCTTTCCTTTATCCTGCTGTACTATCCAGAAGTAAATATAGGTTCTGAATGGGTTTGCTTACCTTTATCGTGAGGAAGATGTAAAAAGAAATAAGAAGAATCTCTTTATAATTTAGTGTGGTGTAATCCATTAGAAAGTTCCTGTTTCTCATTCTTTCCCAATTGTTTCTATCTCTATCTCTTACTCAGTACAACTTGTTGTTATACATGTATGTTTGTCCAACTAGTCAAACCCATTGTGTTTCCCCTAGGGCTGAGCAAGCCTCTAAACCTCTGCCTTAATTCTAGTTTCTCTTAAGACATCTTTCCATAAGATTCCATTTAACCTATAACAAAGAGACCACTTCTTAATATTAGATACTTTGTGGTTTCAGTTCTGCATTTTAGGATGTCTGCATTTCACAGCCTTCCATTTGCAAATAGGAATTGGCAGAATTTAATATATTCTCAAAAGGAATCTAAAAAAACGAGAAAGCAAAATATGTGCTGGAGTTCCTACTATTTTTAATCTATCCATTCTAAATTAGTTGTCATCCCCAAGTAGATGAAATGTGTATTATCTTTGACCA